TGCACAGAGTGTAATAATAGCAGGTTCTAGGCAAATGTTGTCTACTTGCTTCTGGAAAAGCTTTCCCTTCATGATAGGAGCAGATGCCTGAGGCTCTATTAAGAATTCTGTTTTCTTCATAAATCTGCACGGTGACATGGAGTCCTCATATTCTTATGCAGTGATTTCTATATGGAAAACATGGCCCTTGTTGCCCTGTTTCTCGTGGGGTTTTCAGCCTGTGTTACACAGACACTGGCCTGTAATATCTCGGAACTCAGTCCCAGATGCCTTGTAGAAAATTTGGCCAGTTTGAAATTTCTGATAGGACTTCTGCTCTTTTGATGCCTTACTGATGTGTGTGAAAGCAAACAAGATTTTGGTTTCCTAGTACTTCTTGCTATTTATATTAACACTGAAATGACTATTTATACCTCGCTAGTGCCTTGTGTGGTAATAGAGTAGGTTAGATTATGTGCTTGTAACAAATGACTCCAAATGTCAATGGTTTATTTATTTTTGTTTGTTTGTTTTTTAAAGGTCTTCCTTCCGTTTTCCACCCCCCCAAATGGCAGCTACGGCCAGTGCGCTGCGCTGATCCGATGCCAGGAGCCAGGTGCCCCCTCCTGGTCTCCCATGCGGGTGCAGGGCCCAAGCACTTGGGCCATCCTCCACTGCCTTCCTGGGCCACAGCAGAGAGCTGGACTGGAAGAGGAGCAACCAGGACTAGAATCCGGAGTGCCGGCGCTGCAGGCAGAGGATCAGCCTAGTGAGCCGCAGCACCGGCCAGCAATGGTTTATAAAAAAAAAAAAAAATGCATTTCTCATTCTCACACCTTATTTCATGATTTTCTTTTTTTTCATTCCTTTTGTTACTTATGTCTGTATTTTTTCTTGGTTATATTAGTGAAAGCTTTATTAACTTTATTGCTCTTTTCTTTTTTAAAAATATTTATATGTATTTGAAAGGCAGAGTTAAAGAGGCAGAAGCAGAGAGAGAAAGAGAGAGAGAGAGAGAGAGAGAGAGAGAGGTCTCCCATCCACTGGTTCACTCCTCAAATGGCCTCAACAGCTAAAGCTGAGCCAAGTTGAAACTAAGAGCCAGAAGCTTCTGGGTCTCCCATACAGGTGCAGGGGCCCTAGGACTTGGGCCATCTTGTACTGCTTTCCCAGGCCATGGCAGAGAGCTGTATTGGAAGTGAAGCAGCCAGGACTCTAACAGGCACCCATATAGGATGCTGGTGCCACAGGCTAGGGTTTTAACCCACTGCACCACAGCAGCAGTCCCTGCTATGGCAATTTATTAAAAAAAAAAAAAAAGATAACACAAAGCCTTACGATCTATGAACATGGGATGTCTTTCCTTTTATTTAGTAGTTTACTATAGTGGAAGGACAAAGTTTGAGAATTAGGATGGGGCTGGTGCTATAATGTAGTGGGTAAAGCCACTACCGTTAGCATCAACGTCCCATATGGGTGCTGATTTGAGTCCTGGCTGTTCTCCTTCTGATCCAGCTCCCTGCTAATGTGCCTGGGAAAGCAGTGGAGGAGCCCCAAGTGCTTGGGCCCCTGCACCCACATGGACGACTCGGAAGAAGCTCCTGGCTCCTGGCTTCGGATTGTCCTAGCTCCAGCCATTGAGGCCTTTTGGGGAGTGAACCAGTGGATGGAAGATCTCTCTCTGTCTCTGTCTCTGTCTCTCTCTCTCTCTTGCTAACTCTGCCTTTCTAATAAAATAAATAAATAAAAAAGAATTAGGATCAACCAAAGTGTCCATCATTAGATAAAGAAAATGTGGCATGTATACACAATGGAATATTATTCAGCTATAAAAAGAAGAATTAAATTCCACCATTCACAGCTAAATGGATGCAACTGAAAGACATCATGTTGAATGAAATAAGCTGGCCCCAGGAAGACAAATTTCGCATGTTCTCCCTTATGTATAGGAGATAAAATTTAAAAAACAAGGAAAAAGAAATGTCTGTGTGTATCAGTATTGTTGCAAATACAGTTTTGTAAAACTTTGTTTTATACCTTTGTCAAACCAATAGTTAAGAATGTTATACTACTATAGTTTTAATGATCTGTGATTACTTTAAAATTTACTGTATATGGGTGAAATGGTCATTTTTCCATTCAATTATTGTTTATAGCATTGTCTGTATTTCCACTAAACTAGGGTCTTTTTTCTTTTCACTTTTTAAACTTTTTATTTGGTGAAGTAGTAATGTAAATTAAAAAATGGGGGCTGGCACTGTGGCGCAGCGGGTTGAGGCCCTGGCCTGAGGTGCCGGCATCCCATATGGGCACCGGTTCAAGTCCCGGCTACTCCACTTCCGATCCAGCTCTCTGCTATGGCCTGGGAAAGCAGTGGAGGATGGCCCAAGTCCTTGGGCCCCTGCACCCACATGGGAGACCTGGAGGAGGCTCCTGGCTCCTGGCTCCTGGCTTCAGATCAGCACAGCGCCGGCCGTTGCAGCCAATTGGGGAGTGAACCATCGGATAGGAGACCTCTCTCTCTCTCTCTGACTCTCCTCTCTTTGTGTAACTCTGTCTTTCAAATAAATAAATAAATAAATCTTTAAAAATATATATGTTATCTCAGAAACTAAAAAAAGAAAGGAAGAAGGAAGGAGGGTGGGAGAGTGAGGGCATATCATCATGTTCTTAGAATTGAATCTACAAATCACATTAAATCTGTTAAAAACTAATTAAAATGTATATTTATTTATTAGAGAGGCAGAGTTACAGAGAGACAGAGAGAGAGGTCTTCCATCTGCTGGTTCATTCCCCAAATGGCCGCAATGGCTGGTGCTGGGCCAATCTGAAGCCAGGACTCTGGAGCTTCTTTGGGGTCTCCCATGTGGGCACAGGGACCTGAGCACTTGGACATCCTTCACTGCTTTCCCAGGTCATTAGCAGAGAGCTGGATAGGAAGTAGAGCGGCCAGAAAACAATCCAGTGCCCATATGGGATGCCGACGCTGCAGGCCAAGGCTTGACCTATTACAACCGTAGCACAGTCCCTAAAATCAAAAAAATTTTTAAAAATAAGATAGAAATGAACAACAAAAAAGAATTAGTCAGGAAATTGTAGGTTTTGCTTAATTACAAATTTACCCTGAAATCCCAAATGCTAACATCAGAAAGGTTTATTCCTAATTGGTCATACATGCCCGGTGCATGTGGACTGAGAGTTGTGTTCCAACATTGCTCTTCATAGTCTGCACTAGTGGAGGCTAGATCATCTTAGAGCTGAATTATCTGGAACACAGGGTTTCAGGTCCCCAAGAGAAAAGAAGAGAGAACTGAAGGGTCATGCAGCAGCTATTAAAAGCTTCACTTACAAGCAACTTGTGCATCTTTTGCTAAAAGCCAATTGAGGCACCAGCACTTTGGTGCAGTGGGTTAAAGTCCTGGCCTGCAGCACTGACATCCCATATGGTCGCTGGTTCAAGTCCCAGCTGCTCCACTTCCAATCGAGCTCCTTGCTAATGCACCTGGGAAAGCAGTGGTGGATGGTCCAAGTCTTTGGGCCCCCTAGACCCACATGGGAGACCCAGATTAAGCTCTTGGCTTCTGGCTTTGGACTTGCTCAGCTCTGGCCACTGGGGCCATTTAGGGAGTAAACCAGTGGATGGAATATCTTTCTCTGCCTCTGTCTCTCTCTCTCTCTCTAACTCTGTCTTTCACATAAATAAAATAGATTTTTTGTTGTTTTTTAAAGATAATTGGCCACCAGCATTGTGGTACAGTTGGTTCAGCCAAGGCCTAAAGCACCAGCATCCTATAAGGGCACTGGCTTGAGTCCCAGCTGCTCCACTTCTGATTCAGCTCTGTGCTAATGCACCTAGCAACACAGTGAAAGGTGACCCAAGTACTTGGGCTTATGCCAACCATGTGGGAGACCCAGATGGAATTCCAGGCTCCTGGCTTTGACCTGGCCAACCTCTGACTCTTGTGGCCATCTGGGGAATGAACAAGCAGATGGAAGATCTCTCTTCCTCTCCCTCTCCCTCTCCCTCTCTTCCTCCCTCTATAATTCTACCTTCTAAGTAAATAAATAAATCTTTTAAAAAAAAAAAAAAAAGAAAGAAAAGCCAGTTGGCCAAATCTGTCATGTGACCCTGACTATCACAGATCTGGGAAGTGCCGGGCAGCTCATGGATAACTGGAGGGTGGTGGGTGTATATTATGGGTTTAATTGTGTCCCCTGGAAGTTCCCACGTTGAAGGTCTAATCCTCAGTGTGACTGTATTTGGGGTTCGAACCTATAAGAAGGTAATGAGGAGGCTGGCGCCGCGGCTCACTAGGCTAATCCTCCGCCTAGCGGCGCCGGCACACCAGGTTCTAGTCCCGGTTGGGGCACCGGATTCTGTCCCGGTTGCCCCTCTTCCAGGCCAGCTCTCTGCTGTGGCCAGGGAGTGCAGTGGAGGATGGCCCAAGTGCTCAGGCCCTGCACCCCATGGGAGACCAGGAAAAGCACCTGGCTCCTGGCTCCTGCCATCGGATCAGCCGCGGCGGCCATTGGAGGGTGAACCAACGGCAAAGGAAGACCTTTCTCTCTGTCTCTCTCTCTCACTGTCCACTCTGCCTGTCAAAAAAAAAAAAAAAAAAAAGGTAATGAGGATTAAATAGTGTCGTAAGAGTGGGGCCTTAATACGACAGGAGTAGTGTCCTCATGAGAAGAGAACAAGACCAGACATCTCCCACTCCCTGCTGTGCGGAGGAAAGGCCACATTAGGACACAATGAAATGGTGACCATCTGCAAACCCGGAAGAGAGGACTCAATAGAAACCACCCTTTCTGACACCTTGATTTTGGAATTCTTGCCTTCAGCACTGAGAAAGTGAATGTTAAGTCCCCATGTCTATATTATCTTCTTATGGCAGCCCCAGCTGAACAATCCAACGTCCCAGCCACGAAGAGGAAGGGAGGAGTAGAAAAATACATTGGGTTATATTGTAGGATTTTCCACATTGATCTGTTCTTAAAATTTTGTGTTTTATTTTTAACAGCTTGAGCTATAATGATCATCTTCTTCTCTACAAAGGATTTGTGAAGTTCAGGTGAGGAACAAGACAGCATCCTAACACATCACTAGGTACTCCTTTAAATGTTTGATCCCCATGAATTATGGAAGTCATAAGCAGAGCATCCGGTGGCTTTATTTTTATTTTTTCGACCACTTTTGCCTCCAGATCCAGCTGTTTTTTATTCTCTTGATCCTTATGCTGTTCTTTCAAGGCTACTGTTACTAGAAGAAAAAAGAACGGGTATTGGGTGAGCAATAGCAACAGACATTAATTACAGAATGAGGATGCAGGGTGGCTAGGACAAAGTCACTGCGTCTTGGTCTCTGCTTCAGTAATGTAGAGTACTGTGTGCCCCTCAAATCCGTTTTTAATTCTCATATAAGCCCCAGTTATTCTCTGTGAAAATTTTAAATACATGAGTCTGGTGAGAGGTTTTAGTTGTTCTTATTCCGCTTAGGAGTTTTTTTTGTTTGCTTCTTTGTTATGTTGTTGTAGGGGCTTCGTTTCTCCTTTTCCTCCCACATCACTCTCTCTCTTACCGATCACTCTTCCAACATGGTGACTTAAGACAGCAAACATGATCGCCATAGGTTTTGGGGCCAGTGAAAGCTTGCCTGGCTGGTTGGCAGTGCTGAGTCTGCAGTTATCCGTGGCCTGGTCTGAGGCTTGAGGACCTCATTCCGAGGTGTCACGCTCACATGAGCCTCCCCACGGGCTGCTTGAGTGTCCTTATGTGATGGTTAACTTTTGTCTCCTCACTGGAGAAAGCAATGTGGAAACCACAATGTTCTTTATGACTTAGCCTGGAAATCACACACTGTCCCTTCTGCTTGTGAGGTTGTTCATATAGCCAGCCCTCACTCACTGTCAGAACTGTCCATGAATATGCATGAGTATCAGGTGGTAAATCTTTAGGGTCTCACTTAAAGTCTGAGACCACACCCACCTTCTCCATGTTGATGATGTAGTACATATCTGTGGCAGGCTGTAGAACCCCCAAAACAACAAATCGTAATTCCTGGAATCTGTAATGTTACCTTACACACACACACACACACACACACACACATCTTTGCAAATATAATTAAATTAAGGATACTGAAATGGGAGGATTATCCCGGATTACCTGGGTGTACCCTAAATGCGATCAGAGTTTCCTTATGAAACAGCACAATGGACAGAATATTTTGTCCTCCCAGAATTCCTGTGTTGAAATCCTACTCCCCAAATTGATGGTGTTGGGAAGGGGTGGGGGCTTTAGAAACAATTATGTCATGAAGTTGGCACTCTCATGAGTAAGAGTATTGCCTATCTATACCTGAGAGTTCTCTTGACCCTTTCTGTCAGGTGAGAATGTAAGAAGTTGGTAGAGCATAGGGGCCAGTGCCATGGCTCACTTGGTTAATCCTCCACCTGTGGTGCCAGCATTCCATATGGGCACTGGGTTCTAGTCCTGGTTGCTCCTCTTCCAGTCCAGCTCTCTGCTTTGGCCCGGGAAGGTAGTGGAGGATGGCCCAAGTGCTTGGGCCCTGCACTCGCATGGGAGACCCAGAAGAAGCACCTGGCTCCTGGCTTCGGATCGGCGCAGCGCTTCTGCCGTAGCGGCCATTTGGGGAGGGAACCAACAGAAGGAAGACCTTTCTCTCTGTCTCTCTCTGTCTATAACTCTACCTGTCAAATAAATTTAAAAAATTTAAAAACAAAATAGAAGTTGGTAGTGCAGAGCCTGGAAGAAAGCCCTCACCAGAACTTGACCATGCTGGTCCTCTGGTCTTGGACTTCCAGCTTCCAGAACTGTGAGAAATAAATTTCAGTTTTTTATAATAAGCTACCTAGTCTACAGCATTTTGCTATAACAGCCCAAATGGATGGAGAGAAGAAGAGGGAGACTTGATTCACAAAGAATAGAAGGCAGGGGATGGGTATTTGGCACAGCAATGGACATGCTGATTGGGATACCCACATCCCATACTGGAGTGTCTTTGTTCAAGTCCTGACTCTGCTCCCAATTCCAGCTTCCTGCTAATGCACATCCTGGGAGACAGCAGTGATGGCTCAGGTAATTGGGTTTTTGCCACCTATGTGGGAGGCCTGGGTTAAGTTCCCAGATCCTGGCATTAACACGGAATGATCCCACTGCAGGCATCTGTGGAGTGAACCGGGAAGCTTTCTCTCCTTGTCTTCTGTCTATCTCTGTCTCACTCTCTTTGCCTCTCAAACAAACAAAACAAACTAACAAGAGATGCCAATGTGTTCATGGAGGCAGAGATTGGAGTGATGCAGTCACAAGCCAAGGAATGCCAGCCACCATTGGAATTTGAAAGAAGCAGGAAATGGACTCTCCTGGAGAACCCAGAGGGAGAGCAGGCCTGTCAATACCTTGACTTCATCCCAGTGAAACTGATCTCAGACTTCTGGTCTACAGACCTATAAGAGAACAATTACCGGGGATTTTTGTTTTGCGTAGCTTTATGCATTTATTTTACCTTTGAGATGTCATAATGATATATCATAATGGAGAGAGGCCCTTAGAACCAACTTCTCCTGAATTTGAACCCCAGCATTGCCATGTGCTAACACTGGGATCTGGGCATCTGCCTGAGTTTTACTTGCCTTTACAATTTCCATCTGCTATGGTCTGAATGCTTGTTTCATCTTCGAAAGCCATGTTGAAATGTAATCCTCAATGTAATAATACTGGGGGGTTAGGTCATGAAGGCTCCACCCTCAAGAATGGGATTAAGGCCCTTATCCAGAAGGCTTCCCACAATGCTCGTGACCTTTCTTGCCCTTTCGCCATTACGCTAGGTGAGGTCATGGTATTGGTTACCTTCAGAGGACGCAACAGCAAGGCACCATCATGGAAGTTGATGCCTTCATCTTGGACTCCCCAGCCTCCTGAACTGTGAGAAATTTCTGTGATTTAGAAGTGACCCAGCCTGGGTATTTTGTTACACATACAGACTAAGACAACATTTTTTTTTTTTTCAAGTGTACAGTTCAGTGGTGTGAAGTCCATTCACACTCTTGTACAACCAATCTGTAGAACACTTTTCATCTTGCAAAACTGGCATTGTGAACCCACTAACAACTCCCTATTCCCTTCTGTCTCCATCCCCTGGTAATCACCATTCTACCTCCTATCTCTATGAAGTTAGCAACTTTCTATTTTTAATGCACAAAGTTTGTGGCAATTTGTTGTGGCAACCATGGGAAATGAATAAGGCTTCTTTCCACCTCTTTCTCTTTGCTTGAAGGATCTTAAATGTACATAAATGGGCACACACATTTATGTAGGACTTTTTGTCATTGTTTTATAAAAATGAAGCTCTATTTTGCATACACTTCTTATTTGTTCATTCAATGTACTCATTGCATTTATGTTAAGAATAATTGTTTCATTTTTTTATTTCAAACAAACCTCTCTGAAGTATCTTTATAGGCCTTCATTAGACATTAATGTCCAAAGGTTTGCAGAGAGCTTTTCCTACAGCCTGACAGTGGTGTTCTGTCAATTATCCAGGCCCTCAACATCAGGTTTGGGGTTGTGCTTCTCCCTCCTGCTGTCCCCTTTTCATGCCTTCTTCCATTCATTAGCACCTCCTCCAGAGGGGGCCAAGAAAAGGAAAAAAGGTGAAACACTACTCAAAAATAGACAGTGAGATCAATGGAACAGGAGGGCTGGGGACCAATCCTTAAAACAGTCATTTTTATTTATGTTAGGGCTGCTTGAAGAAACTTCAGTAGCAAATACTGATCAAGTCATCCACGGGTCTGAGTGGGGGAGGGTCTTTACTGTCTCCTCTTGACTTTTTAAGTCTGGTTGTCCCAGTTTTTAGATAATCCTGATGAAGGAGGGTCCCTTTGTAAATGTTGGAAGAATTTGTGCAATCATCAAACATTTACTAATCATCAATAACACAGCAGCAATCATTCAGGCTCTGAATGAGTGACCAACTTGGGTTTTTGTTTCTTTCCTCTACGAGGTGGGCCTGCTGTTCTGCAGCTACTGGAAAATGGGAGGGAAAAGCAAGAGAAGATGGGGAACAAATGCACCTGTTTGGAGTGCATTTCCTAGAGCGACTGCAGAAATACCCTAAAAACGTTCAGCGCTTCCCAGTTCTGGAGGCTGGAAGTCTGGAATCAAGGTCAGGCCACGGTCCCTCTGAAGCTCCTAGGGAAACCCTTCCTGGTCCCTCCCTGGCTACCAGGGGGTTGCGGGCCATCCTTGGTGTTCTTGCCTGGCAGCTGCATCCTCCAGATACTGCTTCTGTCGCCCCTAGTGTTCTCCCTGTGAGTCTCTGGCTCTCCGTGGCCATCTTATAAGGACACGTGTCACGTGGGTTAGGGGCCTACTGGACTCTGCCATGACCTCATCTTCACTAACTGCATCTGTGTGACCCTGTTTCTAAATAAGATCACATTCTGAGTTTGGGGGGTGAGGACTTCATTTCTTTTGGGAAGTCAGGGGCACAATTCAACCCACAACATGTTCTAATTGTCAGGTGGTTCACTGACATTTGGATTCTGGGTTTAATTAATCTAGGAATGTGTTTTATGTTTTTTTAAGGTAACATAATGGTTAGTGTGCAACTGGGAGGCCAGACTGGCTTAAGTTCTGTATTTACCTTTTACTAACTGGTATGATCTGGGCAAGTTAATTAATTCTTTGTGCTTCAGTTTCCTTGTCTATAAAATGGAGTTAATAATAATACTTAAGGGGCTGGCGCCGTGGCTCACTAGGCTATTCCTCCGCCTTGCGGCGCCAGCACACTGGGTTCTAGTCCCAGTCGGGGCACCAGATTCTGTCCCGGTTGCCCCTCTTCCAGGCCAGCTCTCTGCTGTGGCCAGGGAGTGCAGTGGAGGATGGCCCAAGTGCTTGGGCCCTGCACCCCATGGGAGACCAGGAGAAGTACCTGGCTCCTGCCATCGGATCAGCGTGATGCGCCAGCCACAGAGCGCCTGCCGTGGCGGCCATTGAAGGGTGAACCAACGGCAAAGGAAGACCTTTCTCTCTGTCTCTCTCTCTCACTGTCCACTCTGCCTGTCAAAAAAAAAAAAAAAAAAAAGAAGAAGAAGAAGATTAAATGAACCAGGAAAGTCCTTAGAATAATACCTGCCGCACAGAGAATCTTGCTATGTGTTAGCCAATTTTATTAAAAATGAATAATCATAGTTGATTTTTCTTTTAATCAATTCCCATTAGAAAGCTTTTTAAAAGGCCCGAGGGGAAGTGGCACTTCACCTAGTGATTAAGGGACCTGCATCCCACATCAGTGTGCCTGAATTTCATTCCTTGCTCCAGCTCCTGACTCCCGCTTCCTCCCAATGTCGACCCTAGGAGACAGTGGCGATGGCTCAAGTCGTTGGGTCCCTGCCACCCGCATGGGAGACCTGGTTAAGTTCCCAACACCTGGTTTTGCCTACCCCTGCTCTGGCCATTTTAAGCAGGTGGGTAGTGAACTGGCAGATGGGACTGCTCTGTTTCTCCCTCTCCATCTTTCTCTCTCTGCCTCGCAAGTAAATGAAACATAATATGTCTATTTTGTAAGGCTGAGAGAATAAAGTGTTCCCCTAGGTGCATGCAGCTCTCAGAGCCTCCTTCTGAGAGAAGCTGGACCTGGAGGGAGGGGGCAGCTGCTCTGTGCTCTTCTCACTGCATAAGCTGCTAGGTGGCCTGTGTTGGCTTTGGACAAACCACAAAGCCCTTGGAGAAATAGTTCTTCATTCTTATGGCTGAGCAGCCTCTGGAGAACAAGTGAATGAAATGTTTTCACAGCACAGAACATACCTCACTATTAGAAAAGGCCATATATATATATATATATATACACACACACACACATATATATATATCTTAAATTTTCTTTGCTTCCTTTGGGATTTCAGTTTAAAATGACCCGTCAGCTCTGTCAGAGTAAGAACAATGCATCACTATGCCTTATCTCAAACATTTTTTTTTTTACAAAAAGATTTACTTTTAGTTATTTGAAAGTCAGAGAGAGAGAGAAGGAGATCCTCCATCTGCTGATTCACTCCCCATATGGCAGCAACAGCTCAGGCTGAGCCAGGCCGAAGCCAGGAGCCAGGAGCTTCTTCCGGCTCTCCCATACAGGTGCACTAGCAGGGAGCTGGATTGGAAGTGGAGCAGCCTGGTTTCAAAGCGGCACCCTATGCCACAAGGCTAGCCCCTTAGAAATTCTTTTTTTTTTTTTTAAGATTTTTTAAATTTATTTGAATGTCAGAGTTACACAGAGAAGGAGAGGCAGAGAGAGAGAAAGAGAGGTGTTCCATCTGCTGGTTCAATCCCCAGTTGGCCGCAATGGCCGGAACTGCGCCGATCCAAAGCCAGGAGCCAGGAGCTTCTTCCAGGTCTCCCACGAGGGTGCAGGGGCCCAAGCACTGGGGCCATCCTCCACTGCCTTCCTGGGCCACAGCAGAGAGCTGGATGGGAAGTGGAGCGACTGGGACTTAAACCAGCATCCATACGGGATGCCGACACTGCAGGCGGCAGCTTTATAGGCTACACTACAGCGCCCCCCACCCCCAGACATTCTTAAAAGCAAATTTGCTCTGCCTATAATGATCTCCCTCCAGTCACAGAGGAGCCAGGACATAGCATAGATTTGATTCCCTTAGAGAGAACCCTGAGGAAAATAGAGGATTCTCATTGCAACTGAAAAGACTTGGAGGACCCTGCATTCCGTGTTCCTGCAGGAAACTAAACCTGATGTTAGACCCTCTGAGTGAGGATGCTAACACATCGAGAGGCACACCCCAAAGACTCAGAGTCCAGACCGGCTGATGCAAAAGCAAGAGGATTTATTCGGCGTCTGCCCAGACGGGCCTCCTGAACTCAGGAGTCCAGAGAGTGCCCTCAGCACAGAGCCACATGGTTTATATACCCACAGCGACTAATCCGTGAGCTGATCATGTGAGAGGCATGCGTCCTCTATCCAATCAGCGAGCTGATCGTGTGAGAGGCATGCGTCCTCTATCCAATCAGCGAGCTGATCATGTGAAAGGCATGCGTCCTCTATCCAATCAGCAAGCTGATCATGCGAAAGGCATGCACCTGGTCGCCACTTTGTTGTTTACTTCTTCAGCAGTTCCTTTCCCTGTCAGCGTCATCTTGTTCACCCTGAGGGGGACCACGTCTCACTCCTTTCGTTCCCCTGGAGGGAGAGCAGAGTCCCGCTTCCCACACCGTTATCTGAGTATTAGGAGGCATACAAAATGGGTTAGGTCTTAGCACAGCCAGGCGCAAGTGTCTCAGCTAGCTAAGCATAGGGTCCCTTATTTTTATAGCTGCACCTAATTTTAGCTCTGGGGGAAAAAGTTTAGGGCTATAATTTTTAAACTTTAATTTTATTTGGGGCAAAGGTGACTTCTTGTTTTTAATAGCATTAGCTTAAGTCACTCCATCTTGGTTTGATTTTAAGGTTCTTCACTGATGTACCTTCCTTGTTTCCTAGGAAACTAGGAGTCTTCAGGTAGGTGGCATGCAAGGTAGAAGGGAGGGATACTCAGAAAGAGCTGCAACAGGAGCAGGTGTTCGGTGCGGTAAGTAAGATGTCACCTGGGACACCCATATCCCACACTGAACCACATCCCTGGTTCAAGTCTTGGCTACTGTGCTTCCAATCCAGCTTCCTGCTAATGCACTCTGGGAGGAAGCAGATGATGACTCAAGCACTTGGATTCCTGCCACCTACGTGAGAGATTGGGATTGTGTTCCTGGCTCCTGGCTGCAGCCTGGCCCAGCCCTGGCTGTTGTGGGCATTTGGAAATTGGATGGATGACCTCTCTCTCTGTCTGTCCCTGTCTCTGCCTCTCTCTCTCTAACTACCTCTCAAATAAATGAAAATAAATAAATCAGTGCTTTCCTCTGGTTTCCCTACAGAGCAGTAAACCTTTAAGAGTGATCAGAGGAGGCTCAATGTCCTCCTTTAGGCCCCTGACTTACAAGGGCCCTGGCTGAACGCCTTGTCCTGCCAACTGCCATCTCCACCTGAGCGTTTGATAAATGTGCTCTGATGACAAAAGTGATGAGGGCAGAATGGGTTTGTAATGTTTCTTAGAGTTAGGGAACTGCACGCTGGACGTGCAGAGGACTCAAATTGCTTTTCCAAGGTCACACAACCACTTCTAAAAAAGGAGCCGGTCTTGGAATTGAAATCTTCTGCCTCCTGGTTCAGAATCCTTCTCCCTGAGCACAGATGTGGATAAGGGAAGTCTTACAGGATAGCTCTTATTTGCTTGGGAGGGACACGCTACTATTGAGGCAAGAAAGAATGGGGGCCGGCGCCACGGCTCACTAGGCTAATCCTCCGCCTAGCGGTGCCGGCACACTGGGTTCTAGTCCCGGTCGGGGCGCCGGATTCTGTCCTGGTTGCCCCTCTTCCAGGCCAGCTCTCTGCTATGGCCAGGGAGTGCAGTGGAGGATGGCCCAGGTGCTTGGGCCCTGCACCCCATGGGAGACCAGGAAAAGCACCTGGCTCCTGGCTCCTGCCATCGGATCAGCGCGGTGCGCTGGCCGCAGCGTGCCGGCCGCGGCGGCCATTGGAGGGTGAACCAATGGCAAAGGAAGACCTTTCTCTCTGTCTCTCTCTCTCACTGTCCACTCTGCCTGTCAAAAAATAAAAAAAATAAAAATAAAAAAAAACTTAAGTTGGGTAATAAATGTAGCATTTATTAAAAAAAAAAAGAAAGAAAGAATGGATTCGAACATCAGGGACTTATTGCCAGATGTCAAGATAACCATTAACCAGACACTGGAAATTTGGGCGGTGTCATGTGTAAGTGGCAGGAAGACAGTATCAAGGGGCAGTAGGAATGTTTCTCTATGATAAAAACACAACTGCTGGCCCGGCTGCAGATTTCTGGAGTTCCCAACTGGCACGGCCTCTTAGACAGGCTTTTTGTTTTCATTTTTATTTTTATTTGAGAGGCAGAGTGACAGAGAGAAAGAAGGCGGGGAGTGAGAGCTCCCAAGTACAGGCTCACTCCCCAAAGGCTCCCAACAGCCAGGGCTGGAGGAGCTGGGAACTCACTCTAGGTCTCCCTTTTGGGCCGCAGGAACCCACTTACTTGAGCCATCGCTGCGACCTTCCTGAGTACACATGAGCAGGAAGCTGGAGTCGAGAGCCAGAGCCAGGTGTGGGCTTTCAACAAAGAGGAAAGGTGCTGGGGCTTCCATGATGTAACCATAATGAAGGCATCTTCCCTTCCCTTCCTTTCATATTTTAACTAACAAAAACCAACCTCTGACATTGTGAACTACCTGTGACTAACCTTGTGAATAATAACGTTGGCATGGGAATTCCAGGAGCCTACTAAAAGGAGAAGACTTGGAATGGCAGGCGCCACACCAAGCTAAGAAGCAAGTATGCAACCATCAGCTACAAACAGCTGAGCTCGTTATCAACAGCCCTCCACCTGGCGGACACCCTGGATTTCCCCAGATAGCCCATCTCAGAGCAAAGCCTGAAAATCTGCTTCATTATCAATTGACTAGACTCATTCCTTTTTTCTACCCTCCACCTGCAGCTACCCTTTCCTTTTAAAAACCCTTTGGCTGGCTTGTTGGGTGGAACGAATACATTTTGGTTCCCAAGGTCACTCTTTCTCCAAGATGCAGGCTTCCTGGAATAAACCCTTTCCTCACACCAGCTCTCATCTCCGGTGAATCAGCTATGTCCAGCGGCAAGCAGCAAGGTAACAGTTTTACTCAGATACCCTCAAATACCGCTAGACACATTATTGGTGTAGATTCCTGGGCTGAAGGCATTTCATTAGCATTAAAAAAATTTAACTTTGGTGGGCGCACCCATGAAGTACCTTTATAGGTTATGTTTCTGGTATATCAAAATCTAGGGAAGCACAATCTAGCATCTTAGGTGAGTGCATGCAAGAAAAGGAAGAGGAAGTGAACCTACCATGACAAACTACTGGGAATGACCCCGGGTGAGAAACAGGTTTCCTACACCAAAACCCGCTGAAGAAAGTGAACAAGTGGAAGTAAGTAACAGGATGACACTGGCTTACAGTTGTGTTGCGTGAAAAGCTCCACCATGGTTTAAATTATGTGTTCAGCGCTGATGAGCCTGGAGGGTTCTAATGCTCTGAATTGTTGGGTATCTGGCTTCAGTGTGCTTTTAGTTTGTAAGAATGACACGTGGGGGCAGGAAGTGGCGGAATCCACCAGAAGTAAGGTTCTTGTGTGTCATAGAATGGTTCCAAAAGATTGAATAAGCGAATGCAGGCCTGTATGAAGAACCTTAGGGCTGACTGCTCAGGACTGCTGTCCTTGGTACCCTGGTACACACCTGCTGGGTGAAGTTTCCCTCTCAGCCTCCTGGATATATTCTGTTTCAAATGCAGCTTCCTTTCTCCCTGTTGGTAACAGAATCCCATTTCCTGTTAGCAGTTCCTGGCTTCCCTCTTAACACTTTGTGGCATTCTCAATGAATTAACCTTGCCCTAATTAAATTAGCCAGCAAGTTCTCACTTGTAAATCCTGGTAGGTTTGTCTCTAGATGGTTCAGATATAAAGATGTTGCAATACAAAAGGAGAAAAAAAAAAAAAAAACCTCAGAATCCAAAGTATCCCTGAACTTTAAGACTGGTGTGTGTTGGTTTTGTTTGGCTTTGGTTTTCCATAGGAGAATTGTTTTTACAATGTGGTGCTCAGCCCTGTGGTTGTATGAGTGGTGGAGATTTTTTTTTTTTCTGATTAGTTCTGGGATTGAAATTCTTAATACTTGCCTACGTGTGGTCTTGGCGCAAGCTGGTGTTGAAGTGGAAAAACAGCAGTGAGAGTGGGGCCTAGAGGCTGGAGAGGAGGCGAGGCAGGGGTCTGCTCAGTCCACGGCTGTCACACATAAAGGAAGCAGCACTGACTACGCAGCTGTGGGCAGCATGACAGTCTCTTCCTCCTCCCAGGGACTCCATACACACCTTGGTCACCGCCTCCCAGCTCAGTTTCATTCATCTAGGAATTGTCCATTCACTGCACAGGGCAGCAGAACGACACTGAGTCACAACAGCAATGCAACCTTTGAAGATAAGGACAAAGTAAAGAAGTGTGTTTCGACTTACCTGGGGGAGGGTATGAAGCAGGTATTCCCATCTATTACCGATGGGCGCAAGCTGCGGGAAATTTTGACACTGAGTTGGGAGCATGTTAGGTGGCCAGGGCTGCCGTAACAGCACCGCAGGCAGAGGGGCTTAAACCACAGAGCTGTATTTTCTCGGGACTCTGGAGGCTGGACGTCCAAGATCTAGGTGAAGCCAGGGTTGTTTGTTCCTGAGACCCTTCTCCTTGACTTGTAGATGACCGTCATCTCCACGTGTCTGCACGAGACCTCTCTTTGTGCCGCTCTGTATCCAAATGTCCCCTTCTTGTGGCCACCACTCACAGTGAACATCCCCCCGAACACATTCCTGCCAACTTCATTCCTCCTCAGAGCCCAGCCCTCCAAAGACAATCTCACTATGAGGTACTGGAGGTCAGGACCTCCACAAATATCACAGGGCTTCAGAAAGCTCACAAAAAGATGGACTTAAAAGACAAGTTTATTATGGTGCCAAGAATTTTGAAAATGATGCATCGAGATTTCATAGTAGGCACTTCCTTTGAATTTTTTTGAAGACCTCTCTAGACTGACAAAAGGACATGTCACTGAGTTACTCTACTTTTAGGAAATTACACTAAAGAAATAAATAGAACTCCAATGATAGGATTCTACAATATTTCCTCATAACCTACTTTTCTTACCTTTTATATCTTTTGAACATGTCTCTACATATCTAAACATATACAGTGTGTCACTTTTAATCACTATCTTGTATTTTGTCACCAGGCAAAAGATTTATTTAACAGTTTAATAGTTATATTCTTTTTTTTTTTTAAGATTTATTTCATTTGGGGCCAGTACCATATAGGTGCCGGTTTCTCTCCTGGATGCTCCACTTCTGATCCAGCTCTCTGCTAATGGCCTGGGAAAGCAGCAGATGGCCTAAATGCTTGGGCCCCTGCATCCACGTGGGAGACCTGGAAGAAGCTCCTGGCTCCTGCCTTCAGATAGTTGTAGCTCCGGCCATTGCGGCCATCTGGGGGGTGAAGCCCCCACCCCGTCTGTAACTCTACCTCTCAAATAAACATATAAAAATCTTTAAAAAAATGAAATGAAATAAGAAATGAAGAGACAATAGAACAGTAAAACTACTACTAAAACAGTACTATACAGTACTATACTTTGTGTGTCTGTGTGGGTGCAAGCTATTGAAATCTTTACTTAGTAAATACTAAGTAGAGCTTCCGTATATAAAGATAATTGAAAATGAATCTTGATGAAGAATGGGATGGGAGAGGGAGTAGGAGATGGGATGGTTGCGGGTGGGAGGGAGGTTATGGGGGAAAAAGCCACAATAATCCAAAAGTTGTACTTTGGAAATTTATATTTATTAAATAAAAGTTTAAAAAAAAGAAAAAAGGAGACAATAGGAATAAATCTTGTGTCTTGGGCCACCTTCTACTGTTTTCCCAGGCCATCAGCAGGAAGCTGGATTGAAAGTGGAGCAGCTGAGAATAGAATCAGCACCCATATTGGATGCTGGCACTGCATGCAGAGGCTTAGCCTACTATGCCACAGCACCAGCCCCAACAGTTCTACTCTCAATTTAATTTTTTGAATAATAGAAACGTTCATATGGGTGAAAATAAAAAATACAAAGGTAAACACTAAGAGACTTTTTAAAAAAGTTTTTAATTTTTATTTATTTGCAAGGGAGAGAGGCAGAGGGACATAGAGACAGAAGCAGAGAGAGAGAGAGAGAGAGATCTTCCATCTGCTGGTTTACTCCCCAAATACCTTTAACAGCTGGGATTGGGATAGACCAAAGCAAGGAAACTGGAACTCCATCCAGGTTTCCCACATGGGTGGCAGGGACCAAAGTCTTTGTGCATTAGCAGGAACCTGGATCAGAAGCAGAGTAGTCAGGACTCAAGGGAGTCATGCAAACCACGATGTCCCAAGCAATGTCAACTACTGCACCACAACACCTACCCTGTAAACCCTGAGAACATTGCCTGTATCCCATCCTCTGTTCCTTGTAAGTCACCCCTTTTATTAGTTTCTTGTGTATCCTTCCAATGTTTTCTTATGCAAATAAAAGTAAGTACAAGTGTCCATTCTTATTTCCTCTTTTTTTTTTTTTTTAAAGATTTATTTATTTGAAAGGCAGAGTTACAGAGAGAGTCGGGGGGGGGGGGGGAGAAAGTCTTCTATCTGCTGGTTCACTCCCCAGATGGCCACAATGGCTGGAGCCACACAGATACGAAGCCAGGAGCCAGGATCTTCTTCCAGGTCTCCCATGGGAGTGCAAGGGCCCAAGGACTTGGGCCATCTTCTACTACTTTCCCCGGTACATTGGCAGGAAGCTGGAAGGGAGGCAGGGCAGCCAGCACTCGAACCAGCACCCATATGGGATCCTAGCAGGGCAGGCGGCAACTTTCCCTGTTAAGCCACAATGCCGGCCTCAAGACTAACTTTTTATTTTTATTTTTACAAATTTACAGCAAGACTGGGCCGGTGCCCGTGGCTCACTAGGCTAATCCTCCACCTGTGGCGCTGGCACCCCGGGTTCTAGTCCCAGTTGGGGCACCGGATTCTGTCCCGGTTGCCCCTCTTCCAGGCCAGCTCTCTGCTGCGGCCCAGGAAGGCAGTGGAGGATGGCCCAGGTGCTTGGGCCCTGCACCCCCATGGGAGACCAGGAGGAAGCACCCGGCTCCTGGCTTAGGATCAGCACATCGTGCTGGCCATAGCAGCCATTTGGGGGGTGAACCAACGGAAAAGGAAGACCTTTCTCTCTGTTTCTCTCTCACAGTCTAACTCTGCCTGTCAAAAAAAAAAAAAAAAAAAAAAAAAAAAAAAAAAAAAATTACAGCCAGACCAAATTTATTCAGAGAAAATAAATGCGTAGAGCTGGGTGACCGACTGCCCATGTGCACACTGACGGAACACGTGGCAGAAGGCCAACCCCCAGGGCCAGGCCTTTTTATGTTTTAGGAAGGCTAGGGATGGGGGTGGGGGTAGGGGGCAGCAGGCAGTGGGGAATTCCTGAAACTGGTTTTTCAAGTGTTTGGGCAACTGAGAAGACTAACTCTTGAGCCTCTCCAACAGAACAGGTTGTAAAGTTTTGAATTTTTGTCCATATAAAATGTCTCATTTAACAAATGTATTTATTTGAAATGCAGAGGGGGATGGGGAAAACAGAGATATTCCATCCTTTGGTTCAATCCCTCAAATGTCTATAACTCCCAGGGCTGGGTCAGGCTGAAGCCAGGAGCCTGGAACTTAATCCAAGTTTCCCATATGGGTGACAAAGACCCAGGTACTTGAACTGAAGAACCTTAAAATCAAACCAAGATGGAGTGACTTAAGCTAACGCTATTAAAAACAAGAAGTCACCTTTGCCCCAAATAAAATTAAAGTTTAAAAATTATAGCCCTAAACTTTTTCCCCCAGAGCTAAAATTAGGTGCAGCTATAAAAATAAGGGACCCTATGCTTAGCTAGCTGAGACACTTGTGCCTGGCTGTGCTAAGACCTAACCCATTTTGTATGCCTCCTAATACTCAGATAACGGTGTGGGAAGCGGGACTCTGCTCTCCCTCCAGGGGAACGAAAGGAGCGAGACGTGGTCCCCCTCAGGGTGAACAAGATGACGCTGACAGGGAAAGGAACTGCTGAAGAAGTAAACAACAAAGTGGCGATGAGGTGCATGCCTTTCGCATGATCAGCTTGCTGATTGGATAGAGGACGCATGCATTTCACATGATCAGCTCGCTGATTGGATAGAGGACGCATGCCTTTCACATGATCAGCTCGCTGATTGGATAGAGGACGCATGCCTTTCACATGATCAGCTCACGGATTGGACAGAAGGCGCATGCCTTTCACATGATCAGCTCACTGATTGGACAGAAGGCGCATGCCTTTCACATGATCAGCTCACGGATTGGTCACTGCGGGTATATAAACCGTGTGGCTCTGTGCTGAGGGCGCTCTCTGGACTTCCGAGTTCAGGAGGCCCATCTGCGCAGACGCCGAATAAATCCTCTTGCTTTTGCATCAGCCGGTCTGGACTCTGAGTCTTTGGAGTGTGCCTCTTGATGTGTTAGCATCCTCATTCAGAGGGTCTAACAGAACCACCAGGAACTGCCTCCTAGGGTATACACAGCAGGATTCTGGAATGGATTCTGGATCATGGACTCAAACCCAGGCACTCTGATATGGGATGCGGGCATCCCAAGCAGCGTCTTGACCACTGCACCACACAGCTGCCCCAGAGGCTCATTTGTGAACATGCAAACTGTTTGTGCTTTTGCTACACTTGGTCTTGCAAAGATCAGTGTCCTTGTAGCTGCACCTGAGCTTATAGTTCAAAGATTTTCTTAACATAAATTTCTCAAAGTTGGCTGTATTGTTCTGGGCATGCATGCATTTTCAGAGTTTTGATCTGTACTGTTTTGGGAGTCTCAGGGGCTGTTAAGCATAGAGACAGGGTAGTGTAACAAATGCTCTGAGTATACATAGCTAATAAACAAACCTCGGAAAATCAGTCCTTGAGCATCTCAACATTAATTCTAAACTTAATTAATTAAAATCCCTTCACTGATTGAACATTTAATTACAAATGTAATAAGTGGAATTATTCAGAGCATTTCAAATGCTTTAAACAGCAGTGATAATAACACATACTTAAAAATAGCAACACTGTAAGTTGAGTTTGATATACTTGTTTCATATACCTTCTTTCTTTCTTTCTTTCTTTCTTTCTTTCTTTTTATTTTGACAGGTAGAGTTATAGACAGCGAGAGAGAGACAGAGAGAAAGGTCTTCCTTCTGTTGGTTCACTCCCAAAATGGCCGCTACAGCCGGCGCTGCACCAATGCAAAGCCAGGAGCCAGGTGCTTCTTCCTGGTCTCCAATGCGGGTGCAGGGGGGCTCAAGCACTTGGGCCATCCTCCACTGCCTTCCCAGGCCACAGCAGAGAGCTGGACTGGAAGAGGAGCAACCGGGACTAGAACCTGGCACCCATATGGGATATCGGCGCTGCAGGCAGAGGATTAACCAAGTGAGCCACGGCGCCGGTCCCAAGGTTGTACTAATGTTAATCACTGTACTTTCCCAGAACCAAACGTAAAGAGTGCTCAGAGCCTGGTTGGCAATTTAATTGACTTATACTCATGTTGTTTGTTTTATTTTGTTCTTGATCTGAGAAAAAGAGAGAACAAGAGCAAGTGAGCACACCTATCCAGTAGCTCACTCTCCAAATGCCCACAACAGCTCCTGGCTGATACTGAAGCCAGGAGCCAGGAACTCAATATAGTTTCCCCATAGTTGGGTGGCAGGGACCCAACTTGAGCCATCACTGCTGCCTCCCAGGGTGCACGTTAACAGGGAAGTAGGATGCAGCCCCAGAGCTGGGACTCAAACCTGTGCATTCCCTTAAAGGGTATAGGCATTTTTTTTTTTTTTTTTTTTGGACAGGCAGAGTGGACAGTGAGAGAGAGAGACAGAGAGAAAGGTCTTCCTTTGCCGTTGGTTCACCCTCCAATGGCCGCCGCGCGCCGGCGCACTGTGCTGATCTGATGGCAGGACCCAGGTGCTTCTCCTGGTCTCCCATGGGGTGCAGGGCCCAAGCACTTGGGCCATCCTCCACTGCACTCCCTGGCCATAGCAGAGAGCTGGCCTGGAAGAGGGGCAAATGGGACAGAATCCAGCGCCCCAACCGGGACTAGAACCTGGTGTGCCAGCGCCGCAAGGCGGAGGATTAGCCTAGTGAGCCACGGCGCCGGCCAAGGGTATAGGCATCTTAACTGCTAGAAAGCACCCAGGCTGTACTTGGTACCTTTGAAGGTGATTTAAAGCTAAATTGCTGGTCATCAGACTAGGCCCTTCCCCTCCTTTGTAACAGCTATTCTTTTTTAGAACAGTTTTATATTCACAGCAAAACTGAATATAGTACAGAGATTTCCCATATTTCACCTGACCCAACACATGCACAATGCACCTACGCCAACATCCTTCACCAGGGTGCTACTTTTGTTCCAAATGGTGAACCCATGGTGAAGCATCTTGATCACCCAAAGTCCATGGCTTACATTGGGGTTCACTTTTGGCATTGTACATTCCATAGGTTTGGACAAATTTATAGTGATAGATTGAGGTACAATTATAATACCAAGTGTGGGCGTTTGGTACAGCAGTTGATACTACTTTGGATGCCTACATCCCATATCAGGGTACCTAAGTTCAGGCCCTGGCTCCACTTCTGATCCAGCTTTCTGATGTATACCTGGGAGGTAGCAAGTG